GTTCGATCTCCAGTTCCACAAAAAAAAAAAAAAAAAAAAAAAAGACCCGGGGGTGGTGCATGCAAGGAGGCTGAGGCAGGAGAATCTTTGTGAGTTTGAGACCAACCTGGGCTGCATAGTTCAAGGCCAGGCTGAACTACAGAAGAAAATCCTGTTTCAAAAAATGAGCAGAAAAACCATATAGAACACAAGTAGACAAATGAAGGGGTGATTATCTTCACAGTATCATTTCTTCTTTCAGTACAAATGTATATATATTTAGAGGAAATAGAAAATACTAAAGAAAAAGCCTACTCAGTTAAAGGTTTTGTAGTGTAATCAAGTTCTTCTGTACTTCTTTCTTTTAAAAATACATATAAAGGAGCTGGGAGATAGCTTGGTGGTCTAGGTGTGTGCCTGGCAAGGGCAAGGGCCTGGGTTCAATCCCCGGTAGCACAAGCCATGCTGGGTCCACTCTGGGCCCACCAAGCTGAAAGCGGGCAGCGCATGCCTGTGACAGCAGCACTGGGGAAGCTGGAATAGGATCACTGTGAACCTGAGCTGCTGCATCGTGAGACCCTGTACCAAATACATAGGTATAAAGAAAAAAATAAAAATTTGAAAATACATATAAAAATCGCCTTTAAAAAAAGAATCATTTGGGGCCAGGGAGATAGCTCAGCAGCATAAGTGCCTGCCTGGCAAATGCAAGGTCCTGAGTTCAATTCCTGATACCAAAAAATTTTTTTAAAAAATCATAAAATTTGGGTTACTTTTAACTTTGAAATTATTCCAGACTTGAAGATGCTAGGATAGTAGAAAGTTACATGTAAGCCCTTTATAAGATTTCTTAAATCTCACCTCATTTCTCAAATTTTACCTCATTTGTCTTAACGTTTTCCTTTTTTATTTTACATATATATATATATACATATATATATGTATATATACTCTCCTGAATAAATTACAAGAGTGGGTACACAGATACAGAACTGTTCATCTACAGAATTTGTTGAGATCTACAAAGGCTGATCCAAGGGCTGGCCAAATAGCTCAGCAGATTAAAGCACCTGCAAGCAGACCTAGCGGCCGGGGTTCAGTCCCCAGGCCTGCCATGCCAGCCCCGCTCCCAAGGTGGGCTGAGATGGCAGTTGACACTGGGTGTGGTGGCATAACTGTAATCCCAGCCCTTGGGAAGCTGAGAACAGGCGGATCACAGTGAGTTGGATCTAATAATGAGACCCTGAACACCCTCTAGACCCTGCCCTAAATGAATACAAAAAGGAAAAAAAAGGCTGATCCAAAAATAGGTTAATATTTCATGTTAGAAGATACATTGCCATTAATCCCCCTCAGCACCCTCCCCCCAGTTGAACAGGCTTGGCCCATTGTTCCTGCCACTTGCTGAGGCAGCTCTTGAGTGTCTTGATCACCAGGCGTGATCACAGGTGAGGGGCCGCAGCTGCAGCCGCCTACACTACGCTGTAGCAGAAGAGTAGGCTCAGAGAGTGCTACCCGCTGTCTTTTGGCACCTTGTTTGCTGGATCTGAAACTTCAGTTTCTTTCCCAATTAAAATGCTGTTCAGGGCAACATTTTAAATGGGTTCAGGGCATCGAAAGGCAGCCACATGGTGCAGCACTGTGGAGCATTCTGGGTTGTTGTTTTGTTTTTGTTTTTGTTTTTGTTTTTGAGACATGGTCTCACTATGTAGTACACTGGCCTTGAACTCCTGTGCAGCCCACATTGGCCTCGAATTCACAGCGCTCTTGCTTCAGCCTACTGAGTGCTGGAGTTACATCCAGTTACATCCATTCTGTCTAGGTTTATCGCCTGTTTCTCCTCCACCAGCTGTGAAATCTCTTCTGGTTCCTTTTAGTGAAAAATTCTACTTAGAAGCCACATTGAAGTTTATACATATGTTCACACAAAGTTTTATATATAAATGTATGTCTATATCCTTACTAAAGTATATGTAGGATATAGACCTAGATAAAATAACCAATAAGGTGACTACAGGAATACTTACCAAACCTAATAAAGACTACAGGGAATGCGTATCCTTCACAGGCACATGTCATAAAGTTGCCATAGAGTAGAAATGTGCTCGGGGTGGTGTTGCACACCTATAATCCCAGCTGCCTAAGCAATTTGGGAAGAGCCTGTTGCAAAGTGAAAAATAAAAGTAAGGCTCAGTGGAAAGGCACTGAGTTTAGTTCCCTGAATTAAAAGTAAATGCATTAGTAATCGGCACCTTTTGGTCACAATACAGTAGAAATTCAGAAGGCTGAAGTGGGAGATTGAGAGTATAGGGCAGGGCGGTCGGGGAGATGGCTCAGTAAAATAAGCGCTTCTCTGGCAAGCTCAAGGGCCTGAGTTCAATCCCCAGTTCCGCCAAAAAAAAAAAGTATAGGGCAGCCTGACTCAAAAAGACTTTTTCAGATGGTAGGAAAAATAAAGTAGAAAGGAAAATTCATAACAAGATTTTACTGTAAAATATCTAGGTAATAATCACAACTTTTGGAATACATTTAAAGCAGTGCTTATGGGAAATTTAGCCTCATAGACTTTCATCAGTTAGAACAGTAAGGAGCTGACCACAGTGGCACGCACCTTTAATCCCAGCATTGAAGCACACTGAGCTGGACAGAGAGTCACAGCTGGACAGAGAGTCACAACTTTCAGTCCCACCTAAACAGCTTAGGAGACACTGTCTCAGGCCCCAAGTTGGTCTAGTTAAATGATTTTTTAGATTAAAAAAAAAAAAAAAAACTTTTGTAACATAATAGAATAATAGTTAATACACTGTGCATCATGTTCAAGATAGTTAAGAATATGAAACATAAACCAGAAAGATTTATAGGCAAAAAAAAA